ATAAAAAATTAAAAAGAAAAAATTTTGCATGAGAGCGTCAGTTCTTGTGTATTTGTATGAATATAATCAACATTTTAGGATTTTCTCAAGAATAGTTACACGTTAATTAATAACAACTCAATCAACAAAATATGTTCTTATTTATATGACTTAACGTAATTTAAATGTTCTCCATTAGTAATGTCCACCATTCGCTACACTGTTACTGACTTGACTGTAACCACGAATAAAAATTAGTTGATATTATACAATTATACCTGTAAGTTTTTCACTACAATACAGTAGTGTATTACAACTCGCGGAAAAATTTTTAAGTTTGGCCAAACTTGCGCAAAAGTTCATGTGGTCAACGTTTGGCCAAACTTCGGCCAAGCTTGGGCAATGAGAAAATCCCAAACTTGGATTTTTGCTGGAGTATTTGACTCAAGTATAGCAAATGTTCATCCAAACATCTAAAAAATTAATTTGTTGTGTCAGGATATTAGTTGGTCTGCATATATGACTTACGAAAAATATTGAATAAAATATTCCAACAAAAATCCAAGTTTGGAATTTTCTCATTGCCCAAGCTTGGCCAAAGTTTGGCCAAACGTTGATCACATGAACTTTGGCAAAAGTTTGGCCAAACGTAAAAATTTTTACGTGGGAACCATTTCAAGTATCATTGACTGTCTTGATGTATGACAGACGCATGCTTACACAAAAAAGCTTTTAATCTGAAAGAATATTTGGATTTCTTGTATAAGAAAGGAGTTTAATAATTGTTTTCTGAAATCAAGGCAGTATGATTCGAATTATTATAAAAGGATGTAGATATTGATAAGCGTATTTGCTCCGAGCCGATGCAGAGGTTGCGCTCCCTCAAGCCAAAATCAGGCAAAAATTCTTACATGTAAACAAACGACTTGGAGCATACATACATGCGTGTAGCTGCTTGTGATTGGCTGAATGAGACAGCAAGGAGGGTATCGTCGTTATCTCTCTAACCTGCCAAGTGCCAATCACAAGCAGCTAAACGCATGTGCATATGTTCTAAGCCATTTGTTTACAAGCAAGAGTTTTTGCCTGAAGTTGCATGTTGATTAAAATGATAGTATTTTGAAAATACATTGCAATAAAAAATTAAGTTTTTACAGAAACCTTTATTTTTAAATAATTACCGCCAATAAAGGCGAAGCCATTGACTGAAAGTGCCATTGATGGCAAAATTTTTCGTGCTTATAATTGCCTTGTGATTGTTTTTCCTTTTATATCAACGCTTTTTTATGACATAATTTGTAGAATTCAAAAGTACAATGAAAATACTTAAACGTTAAAACAAAAAACTTAATCATAAAAAAAACTACGTTTGTAACGAAATAATCTTTTTAAGTTAAAAGAAAAACGTCTATTAGAAATAAGTCTCACCCAGTTTGAGGAAGGAGCACTTAATTTAATGAATCTAGAACTGACAGTGGACGACCAAGTAGAACTCCTTCCATATGATAAAAGATTCAAATTTCCCAGAGAAAATATAAAATTAGGTAAAAGAATACAAATACGTTTTTAAAGAAAGTCTACCTTTATCAATATAAAAATTGAAAATTTTTTTCTTCACACTCAAGACAAACAATTAGGAAGTGGAGCATTTGGAGTTGTGTTTAAGGCTGTAGCCTATGAATTACTTGCTAAAAAGTCTACTACAATTGTAGCTGTAAAAACAGTTCACAGAAATGCAGATCTTATGTCTCTTAGTGCTTTGGCAAGAGAGCTGAAAATTATGAATTATTTGGGACCACACTTGAATATCATAAGTCTTCTGGGCGCTTGTACTAAGAATATAGCCAAACGTATGAATTTACGTAAGACTCTAAATAATAAATCGTGAAATAAAATGTCTTACACAAATTTTATGAATATTTTAGGTAAACTTTTAGTAATTATTGAGCTTTGCAGATTTGGAAACCTAGAAAGTTACCTCTTGTGTCATCGAAAACATTTTATTAATCAAATTGAACCAACTACAGGTAAAATCGACCATTCTATTGGAAAACGATTAAAGAGGTAATAATTTTACTGTACAAACTTTTTTTTTGAATTTTCCAAGTATGGTACTTTAAATAGAGATACTTAGGAATACGTTGATTCATATTTCGTTTATAGTGATAAAATATAAGATGCGTTAATGCTCACGTTAGTTTTAATGATAAAAAAATGTAAGATTATGATAACGCTTATAAACTTTTCAGATATTAGATAGTTGAAAAAGTGAAAAAAAAAATTTCCTGCGCGTTGTTAATTATAGACAGCCATAAAAGACACGTCTGAGTGTGATTAATAATTTGCATGTAGAGCAGAGTAACGAAAAAAACGTGATCATCAATAGCATATTTTTTCAAACAAATAAATCGTAGGATCATTAGTTTCAAGTTGCTTAGTGCCTGAAATAAAATATATCTTAATAGTTTTCTAAAGTACCTTCAATCTACACTCTAAGTCCGATCTTAGTTCTGTTTGATGTACGCATTCTTAAATTTAAATATTTATCGAAAAACTGTTCTTAAGTAAAGCTACAGAACTTGTACAGAAAGTATTAAGTCGTAACATTGTGAATCAAGTAAAATTAATTAAAATACGTTTATTTATATAAAGTGTAAGCTTTCTATCCACAACTTTTATTTTTTTTGCAAACAGGGCAGAACTCAAGATTTCTGACAATTGTAGTCTGGTCTTGAGCAATAGACTTCCAAATAATGAGTCCAGTATTTATTGTACAGAGGATCAGACATTCATTGGCCCAATGAAATCTGGTGATGATTTTATCAATGATGATATTCAGTCAGACTGGCGTTCTAGTTACAAAAGGGACTATGCAGATAACAATTTTTCGTTTATCTACATTGGAGATCTTTTGTTATGAACTTATCAGGTGGCAAACGGCATGGAATATCTTTCAAAAAAAAAGGTGAGCAGCTATCTGTATATTATTTTTAATGCGTTAAGCTAACTCTTAATTCCATATTAACAATTTTTAATTACATACCACTTTATTTTTTCACAGGTACTGCATTGTGACTTGGCTGCAAGAAATATACTATTGGGGGAAAATAACATTATCAAGATCTGTGACTTTGGTTTGGCCAAGACATTGTACAAAGACGAAAACTACAAAAAGCAATGCGTTGGAAAGTTGCCTGTAAAGTGGATGGCCACTGAGTCCATCAGAGACGGGGTATTTTTAACTATGTCGGATATGTGGTCATTTGGTGTAGTTCTATGGGAACTTTTCACCCTCGCAGACATACCTTATTCAGATATAGAGTTTGAGGAGATGTTTAAGAAATTAATCAAGGGGTACAGATTAGGGCAGCCCAATTATGCTACCAGAGACATGAAAATAAAACTTTTCGTAAAAAGTCAATTTCTTTAAAACTATTACCCTACATTGCACACTTTTTTTTTTTTTTTTTAGTTACGATATAATGCTACATTGCTGGGAGGAAGAGCCGATGTCAAGACCATCTTTTACAATGCTGGTCGAAAGCATTGGAAAGATGTTACAGAATGATATCAAAACTTATTTTCAAAGACTCTATCATGAATATGAAAATTTTAACAGGGAAGGCCAGTTTAAAACAAAAGATAACTCAGGCACATCATTATTACCAGATTACACCACAATTCCGCTCATACGGCAAAACTACGTAAACACCTTGCCTCCAATTAAAAATCCATCCTACATAAACGTGCTTAATAGCGTCACTGTAACAAATAAGAACTTTTAACAAATTTATGGCTTGAATATTAAAAGTAACTGTGTTAATACAGAAGAAGTAAACGATAATTTCAAGCTAAATAAGCTAGATTTAAGTAGTTGCAATGAAGTGAATTTTCGACTCTGCCGGGTAAAAACTTTCTATCTTAAGATTATTTAAATTTACATCATATATTGTTTGCAATAGTATTTTTAGTTTCTAAGTCAGTAAAAATTATTTATCAAACCACCCGGAATAAAGGTTTATTGCCTGACCTATTATTTTTGCATGCATGGGCCAATTTTAAATGTGGATGGTCCAAAAGATATTATTATAGATTCAAGAATAATCGCCAAATGTATAAAGTAACTGTAAGACGAAGAACTGTTTAAACTATTTTTCGGAAAATTTTGTAGAATACGTTATAGTTTGATACTCTACAATCATTATTTATCATTTGTAATTGGTATTATTAAAAATAATTTTACTTCAAAGAGAAGATTTTTATTCTTACGTAACAAAATCAACACGTAGCTTACGCGCAGATAGAACTAAAACCTTCTTATTGAGGTGTTTATTTATTATACAGTTACAGCTGAAATATTGTGACATAAAAAGACTTATTGTTTCAACTCGAAATTCTTTGTAGATTAATAATGTCTGACATTCAGAGATTTTAATCGTTTGGAATTTTAATCATACAACAGTTTATTGGCATGGCAAAATTTAAAGTTCTTGACGTCTCAAACATCTTGGTGCCTGAGACTGAAAGCCTAAACAGTTAAACTGCACATTCAGAATCAACAAAGTTTCTGAAATGAGTTGGAACGTACACCGGAACGTTGTCAACAAATATATTAGAACTTAAAAAAGTTGACAGAAAATAGCCATTAGGGGTCACAAAAGCCGCAAGAGGGTGAATTGGAAGAAAAACTTCAAGTGTATCTAATAAATACAATTTTACTTAGGCGTCAAGAAACTGACACAGAAAATTTATCAAGATTGGAACAGCAGCCTCAAAATCGACAAATAAAGAATCCATTACTTGAGAGATCAGCTTTTCATTGTTTCCTCACAGCAATCTCTGAAATCTTTAAAGATCCTACTTCAGATTTTTTAATGAGTAGGAAATGTATTTGTGTTTTTGTGACAATAAAAATGTAGGGTTTAAGGTCCAGGACTTTGTTGCTCTGGTAATAAAGTTGTGAGATATGAGAAAAAAATTTTTTTTTTATAAATTTTTTGGGGGTTTAAAATCTTAACAGCTTTAAAAAATAGCCGTTTTCGTGAATTACACGGGAGAAACTGTAAATCAACGGCTTCTTATGGCCACCGATTATTTTATGGCATAAAGAACGCACGGTACTTTTTAGCATAATTCTTGTTTTGAATTTTTACACCTTATTATTTGTCCAAATAAACTATATGGATTCCAAAAAAATATGTTTTTAATAAGAAGATTTTTGTTCTAAGATGTGTCAGGAATATGTATAAAATTTCTAACTGAAAACGTTTCACATTACATGTCAACACACTACGGTGTTTTATTTAGTAACTCTCGGGCGAAGCTGAGACGGGGGGCTGCTAGTTTTGAATAATTTAAAAATGAATACTTTTTTATTTGATTTCTCCATACGAAATGACATTAGCTTGTGTAGAAATTTAATTTGTTTCAGTTTTGATTTTTTTATTTCATTTTATATTTTATCACAACAGATAATTTCATAATAATTATTTTGTAAAAATTATTAATTAAGACCGTATCTTGGCAACCAAGATGGTATTTAATTCGTACGTTGCTGCTCTTTCTTTTAAGAGTAAATTTCTTCAATCAACAGATCACACTGAAAATAGCACACCAACCCGTATTCATCGTACCTTATTAAGTCCACAGCTTCTTTGAAATACTGGCACTCAGAACCCAGAGAATCTTCATAATCGACATACTTATTGGTGTATTTTTTCGTCCATTTAATGAGAAGTAGCGATATTAACCCAAAAGAAAAAAAAATATAAGTCATTATTATATAGGTGACTCATTCGTTAACGGAATTTTATTCGCATTTGAGTTTGGTTACTTTAAAAATTTTATAAGCAACATTTTTTGTGTTTTTAATTTGTTTTTTCTATAAATAATATCAGAGCTAACAGAAAATAAATTAACTTATACAGCATAAACCAACTGATTGGCAAGTACTTTGATTCTCATCAATCAACAAAAATAAACATGGTTACCAGACCATAAAGATTGTAATGAAAGAATAGAAATGAACATAATTTCTTATGTAAAAAAAAAAAATATACTTTTATTACTGTAATTGATTGATAATTGTTCAGTCAGTAAAATAATTATTGTGCCACTGTCATTCACACAACTTCGATATCTTTAAAGTCAAAGTGTAACATGCTTTCATCAAATAAAAAAATAATACTACACTGACACGCTTTTTATACGTTCAGAATTGTAAAAAAAACAACATTTAATGTAATGTACGAGTCATGTTGAATTATATTTCTTTAAATACAATGAAAACACATATTTGTGAACCAGACTTCCAGGATTTCTGAGTTCAATATTAAGGTTCAATAATTGAGTAGTTGCTTATCAATATTCCTAATACATAATGTAGACAATCTGTAACGTAAAGGATATTTAATTAACATTATTTTATATTTAATAAGTAAAAGTATATAACTTTTACTCATTAAATATAAAATAATGTTAATATATCATTTAACACCATTTAAATGTCCAAATTTTAGATATGCCATGAGAAACATCATAATTTACTTTCTTCAGTAACAACATATAATAGGTTCATAATAGGTTCATACTTCCGTTATAAATTTAGTAGATAAATCGAAATTTCAAAATACAGTACTTAGAAATGGTTACTAAAGCTATTAATTACACAACTATTTGGACTCCAAGTAATCAATGCATGTATTTCAGTAATAATACGGCTGGGGAGCTGCAGCAAAGTAAAATGGAGACATAATGAGGAGGACAGGTGACTTACGGTGGATGGTAAGTTCTATTTCTACATTTCAACGTGAACTAACTTAATTGGCGTTCAGCTAATTACAAACCTACACTTATGAATAATAGGTTGTAAGAGGCATAGTCACCTTCTAGAATCGTTATATACTTCGTGTATAGTTCTCTGATTGTAGGTTTGGCAACTGCAACGAGGTACATACGAAGGCTCTTTAAATAAGCAATACATTTACAAATTAAGTAAATTAGAGATATTTTTACATATGTTTACATTGTAAATGGATTAGGCCAGAATAAGACTACAGCTTCCAGGCTTCATCTATTTGATTTACGGGTTAGACACACCCTGCAGTCAGAAATGTCGAGCTTTCAAGGTTGGAGAGACCCACTGGCTTTTCTGCATTCGGCAAAACTTCTTGTTTTTCTAGTTATATTATCAGGAATGTGTAAGTATATATAACTAACATTTACACAATTTCAATTAATATATAAAACTATTATTGTCGTTGTTTTCACTGTACAGTTTTAACATTCATCAAAAAATTTTCAATGAAACCACAACTGGTACTGATAATATTTACCATTGAATAATTTTTTTTCGCCTTATAGTTCAACAGATGTATTGACTGAAATCAAGTGACAAGTTAGTATTGCCATTTGCCGTTTCACAGAAAAGTTTTAACATTACGATTATCGTGTGTCTCTATTTCATATCTTATCTCTATTAAAACACTTTCATTCCAAGTTATAGGCCTTTTTGCTATTTTTAAGCCTTAAAAACATAAAAACATAAATTTTTTTTCTATAGCTATTCATACTTTACTACAAACACTTAATGACAACTAGTGTTGTCAGATAGAGTAAGGGGCGTAGTCATGTGCAGTAAATTTTGAATTTTATTTTGCTAGTATTTGTATATTCATCAGTAAATAATCTACTAATAACGTAATGCTTCTAAGTTCATGTTATCCTCCCATAATTTCCACCTTCTTTTCAAGTTAAGATGATTTTTGACATTTAAAATACCTCTTTCTATGAAAAAAATTTTTAAGTGTAAGCATATGTGTGTTACAAATTTAATTGGACTGCTTTTTTTTATCTTTAAAGAAAACGTTCATATGATTTCAAAACGAAATATTAAAATATAAAACACTTTCATTCCAAGTTATAGCACTTTAACATTTTTTTTGCCTTCAGAATACACAACTTTTATTTTTATAGTTATTCATATTCCATCGCGAACACCTAATACCATCAAGTGTTGCTAGGTGGAGTAGGAGACATAGTTATATGTATTAAAGTTTGGCTTTTATTTTGCTATCCCTTTCATATTCATGAGTAAATAATAACTAATAATAAAGTAGTACTCCTAAAGTCATGTTATCCCTCATAATTTTCACCGTCTCTTTTAACTTGGGATGATTTTTAACTTGCGAAGTACGTTTTTTTCATAATAAAAAAATATAATCTTAAGTGTACGCATAAGTGTTATATCATAAAAAAGTTTACAAATTTTAAATAGAACGAAACAAAGTTTTCCCAGGTCACCGATTTGTTCAAGTATTTATTTTAAAATGTGAACATGAATCAGGTTAAAAACTCATGATCTTTTTTTTGTAGAGTTTTATGATTTTATATGAAATAGGTTTTTCTATGAAAAGGAAAAAAATGTTCATGTTTCTGGAATTTACAACTTACTTGTATGAAACGTCTATTTTCCATTATATGGAGAAAAAGAATACTGGCCCTATTTTGAGGTTAAGTAGATGAACCTTTTTAAAATTCGTATCAATTTAAATTAAGTATATTAATAAAATTGTAAATAGTTCTAATTGTTTTCCAAATCATGCACTGTAAAAGTCCCCCCTTTTCATTGTTAGACTGTTTCTCTTTCATTCTTGTCATAACTTACGGACTAATATTTTTTATGGCAACAAATGCTAGAAAGCTATCTGCTTATTAATCATAGAATTTGTTTTAAGAATACATATAATATTTATAGTAAGCCTATTTAATATGTATTACGTAGGCTGCGATGGGTATAAGCCTCAGCTACATCCAAACGTGACTGAGTTGCAGATTAACGAAGGAGAAACTCTGAATATTACGTGCACAAGCAATGGCTACGTTAATTTTTATTTTCCCACCAGCAATACGTGGGGTAGAGTAAGTTTAATGTCTGAACTATTTTATGTTTGTATAAAATGTAAGAAAAATCTTGTAAAAATACGATATTCACTGATTTTTATGTTAAAAAAGACAACCTCTTGGTCTAATATAACTCCAGAGGGTAGGAGCACCTACAAGATATTTATAAGATCATCAACTGTTTTTGGAGACACTGGCTGGTATGGCTGTGCTGATGAAAGCAAACTAATAAATAATTTCACTGATAAAAATTACAACGATCCGAAAGTTACTTGGATGTACGTGTATGTTAAATGTAAGTTCATGAAACAATTTATCTTTTTAATTATTTATCGTAAAATTATCAAACACTGTCATATTACTGCACAAAAACTATACTTAAAAGTTTTACTGGTATTATGCAGCCAATAGAAACCCATTCGTGCATGTACATGGAGTTAATAAATGGAATTATTTATTTGCTTTTGGATGTGTTAACTACATAATTTTTCCGTGCCAGACGACTTCTCCTGAATTTAAAGTTATTTTAAAAAAAAATCAGAACGTAATATAACCTTATTTAACTATTTATCTATAAAATAAGTGTAGCAGATTTTAAAACTATTTTTAATTATGTTAGGTAGTTGAACTACATGAAAACACAACTTTTGATCCTAGAGTAGGTTACATCATGCGGGATACAGAAGTGATTTTCGATACGATATTTACTTGCGAAGTCATTCAAAGACATTCATCATACACAGTCAAATCAAAAGTTATTTTTACTGAACATGATAAGTGTGTAAATCTACCAGAAATAATCGTGGATGGTCCACAACATATCACTACAGGCTCAAGATTAAGTTTTAAATGTCTCGTCGAAGTCAGAAGAGAAGCCACGTACAACATTTCTTGGAAAGTTCCGCAGAATTCGGTAAAATTTAATATCATTATGACGTTTACATTTTTTAGTAATAAAAGAAATTAGTTTAAAACACTATGATAATAATGTTATATATTTTCTGAATAATAAAGTACGTACATTAATTAGACTTCCAGGATAATTCCAATTAACACGAAAGAAGTCGTGAAAAAGTATATAAAAAAGAATATAATAACATCAGAGCTTATTTTCGACAATGCAACAGTTGGTGATACAGGAAATTATGAATGTCAAGTGACATCATCGTTTAATGAAAGAAAAAGTTCGGCTGTATACATCTGTGTATATGGTAGGTCATGTAACCATTATTTTTGTATACTTTTTAGTAATAGGCTCTTACAATTTTTTTTCTGAAAGATTCCAACAATCCTTACATCAATCTGACGTCTGTTGAGAAAAAAGTAACCAGATTACGCGGTGAATCTGTAACTTTTGTGGCTAACGTCTCTGCATGTCCAAAACCTATTTTAAAGTGGTAATGCGGTTAAATATAAATTAATATGTACTAATAGAAGTAGACTTACCGGTACTTAGTCTTACAAAAAAATTCATGATTTTTTAGGGTGGACAATTATGGTGGTAATTTTTATTCTCTAGCACGTCAAGGCAACTTAATATCCAGAACCCACAGCAATACAGCACGTAGCTTACGCATCGATAATATCTCAATCGTTAATGATGGAATTTATACACTAACAGCTAAAAGCATTGCGGGAACAAAGAACATAACGTTTCATCTTAAAGTTCTTGGTAAACAAAATATTCACGATATTTATATCAAGTACCGGTATCATTTTGTACAACACATAACTAAAAATTTTTATCATCAGTTGGTTGTTTTGCATTACAAAATCCTCGATTCCAGTACTTCTAAATGTCTCGGTTCTAAGAGCTAAAAGCTTATAGCATTGCATCATAAGTTTATCGTTGCCATCATTTATAGATTAAGTTATTATGTGTCACGAACTTGTATCATAACGTATTCTAACTTTTTATAAAACGTTAATGCATGAAATTTTAAAATCCAGTGCTCATGTTATCGATACGAACAGTATCAGAAAATACTTGCTTGTTTAAGTACTCTAATATTCTGAGACAACAAATGTACAATATGATGTAAGCCTTGCATTCTCATTAGTAAAGCAACAAATTCTGATGCGTTTGCTTTAGGTAACACTTCGACAAATAATTGATTTTTTAAAGTGTTCGACATGTTTGAAAGGATTCACCTAATCAAGATTTTGAAAAATTGGAATTTTGCTTGTTTTAATTTATTTTTGATACATTTTTTTTACGCAATATCATACCAGATCTATTCAGATGTATTTTTCTATTACTTATATTTTTTTTGTATCGATGTTAACACCATTTTATTGTTCGTAGATGAGCCCAGTGTAAGGTTTAATCGCAGCCATCTTAAAAAATACTATAGCTTTAACCAGACTGCGATGTTTGTTTGCCTTGTCAAGAGTAATGTTGAATTTAATATATCATGGAGCTATATGAGTAAGCCCAGCCAGTTTCAATATATTGATAAAACATCTGAGTTACAGGTTCGTTTACCCGTAACAACTTTAATAACTTATATTGACGATTCCTAATAACACTTTTGAGCAGAAAAATAACCATAATTACATTATACTTAAGTATTTAAGGGATACAAAAATAAATAAACAAAGTAACAGAGCTGAATATAAGTCAATAGTTACGATAAGACCCCAAGAAAAGTCAACAATCAAATGCACGGCTTGCAATAGTTATGGATGTAACAATGATGAGTATGATATTTATATTACAGGTATAAAATTTTAATCTAACTATTTGCTTCAAAATTTAAATTTCATAAAATTTCTAAGACTCATATCTTTATTCAAAGACGGTGTTTCCAATAAGGCTTATGGAGTTATACAGCCAAACACAAAGTATCGTGAAGGTCAAAATATTTCTTTGATATGTTACGCTGTCATTCACGAATATTCTGAGGTATATTGGCGTGATAACACATACAAAAAAGTTATGGATTCTGGTTAGTACTAGATTTACATAAAAAAAGCAGTCAACTCTACTTGGACGGTGCCATAAATTGTTTCAACTTAAATAATCTGAATATTTTAATGTTTCAGAAAGGATACATGTTATATTTGAAGAAAATAACTATGCACATCGTGCCGTTATGTCCATTAATAATTTAAGTTATTTGGATGAAAAAAATTATTATTGTTCAGCAAAAAAATCGTGTTATGAGGAAAATTCAGAGAAATATTTTCTTAAAATAAATGGTACAAATAAAAAAATTTTGTTATTCAATATTGTTTACCTGCAAGTTATTTTTATGATGTTTTGTTATTTCAATCTTTCATACGAATTTATTAATTTGTAGTTCCAGCTCACTTTGTTCGTGGGAATATGAATGACGTTGCAATAACACGATTAGCAAATGACCCAAAAAATCCTATTCGTTTAGCATGTCACTTTGAAGGCATACCAACTCCTAACATTACGTGGTTCAAAGACGGTACATCATTAAATACATCGAATCAGTTTACTTTCGAGGACAGAAATCAAAAATTAATAATAAGATATTTGTTGGAAAACGATAGTGGTAATTATTCGTGTGTTGCAGAGAATGGCTTCGGGCCAGTTACAAAATCTCAAGTAATTATTGTGAAAGGTAACGATTGCCGATGTATTTAATTGTAATTTACTACTTAGATAACTTAATGAATAGTTGCTTATATGTGACGAGGGTTATGGCCTTCCTACAGAAAAAACTTGTTAATCGTTATGTTTAACTAAATATGTTTTCACACCAATTGATACGGAAGGCTGTTTACGTTGTACGTGATTATGGTGTAAAAAATTTTGTTTTGTAAATTCAAGTTCAACACAAAATTACTGATGTTGGAAAGTTTTTCATAAAGTCATTTATGCTTTTTTCAAAGAAACAATCGAGCTTTCATTTTAGAATATTGGTCATTTGTGCCGCAGTCGACGTTAAAGTATCGTTTTTTTCTTGCTACGAATTTTTTCTCATTACAGTGTTACGGGGGTAACATAATGCTATCGTACGTAACAACATTTAAAAAATATGTCGTTATAATTGGTATCTCCAGTTCTACAATAAATGTACTAAATAACTCAATTTTTCTCAAGAAAAAAAGTCATAGTCTGGTAATTAAAGCAATTTCTGTTTAATTCAGGAAATCAAAAATTATATTTTTGGATTGGACTAATAGTGTGGTTTTTTACCATCCTCGTGTTTCTTTTAATTTACTTTTATTTAAAATCACAATTTGGAAAGGTAATTAAAATGTGTGGATTTTTTTTAACACGTGAACTTAGACAGTTAAACGTGTCATTTTATATAATTTTTATTATACAATCGATAAAAATTTTTAGTTCAAAGAAAAAAAACTGTTAGAAGCTGGTTTTACGCATTTCGAAGAAGGAGCAATTGATTTGATAAGCCCAGAGCTTATGATAGACGATCAAGCAGATCTTCTACCATACGACAAAAGATGGGAGATTTCCAGAGAGAACGTGAGATTAGGTAAAAATTTAAACTTGTCCCACTTCGTCTCCATAAAAAGAAATTATGAACATTAGCATTATATGACAATGTATGATAACGTAAAACGTCTTGTTTATTTAACTTAAGGTAAAGAGTTAGGAAGTGGAGCTTTTGGAGTCGTGTATAAAGCAGAAGCACATGGAATTATTGCTGAAAAGTCTATTTCAACTGTGGCTGTAAAAACGATTCGAAAAAATGCAGATCTCATGTATATAAGTACACTGGCAAAGGAGCTCAAAATTATGATTTATCTAGGACAACACTTAAATGTCATAAACCTTTTGGGTGCTTGCACCAAAAATATAGCAAAACGTACGAAATTTACATGATATACTACAAGAAACTACGAAGAGGAAAAATTGTATAACAAAAAATCAAATTATATTACAGGTGAACTTTTGGTAATCGTTGAGTTCTGCAGATTCGGAAACTTACGAAGCTATCTACTGTGCCATCGAAAAAATTTTATCAATCAAATTGATTCAAATACGGGTAATATAAATCCACGTATAGAAAACACTGTTGAAAGGTATTTGTTTTACTTCTTACTAACATTAATTTTGGTACGCACTAGAAAATTTTATTTAATTGATCCTTTTAAGTTCTTAGAATTTTTCGGGAGGTACAATTATGCACTGTTTTATATGATATATAGTCTGATAAACTTTAAGTACACTTTCTTTATTGTTATCCAAAGCAATTGAAGTCGAGCTTCTTTAAAATTAAATCTATTTTCATCGTACTAAGCAGGAGAGCAGATCAAAAAACTTAACAAGAGACTCTTTTCATGATACATATTTTATGCTTTATGTGTTACAATTTCGAGTCAAATAGCATCTCTATTAATATCAATGTTTGTATACAAAAATTCAAACTTATGATGAAAGTATACTTTCAGTCAGTTGAAAAAAAAAACTAACGTATCCCATTCGTAAAATCTTTACTAATGTTTTTTTCCATTTTTTACTAATTTCTTTATTCATTTTTGTAATACAAGTATTTTAACATCATAGTACCTTGTTCAATCAGAGTTGCTTTGAAACAGACTTAAATATGTCTGCATTACTTATCAGACAATAATAACAAACGAATACGTAAGATGCTATACATGCATATAAGTGTATAGTTATTTGGTCCACTCTGAATTAGTTGTTTTTATTTTCTTTGTTTTTTTTAATTTCCATTTTGTGAGCTTCTTAGCTCTAGAAGTATATACTAAGTTAAAAAACTTACTAGATTAAGCAACAACAAAAATTACAAACGAATACGTAAGATGCTATACATGCATATAAGTGTATAGTTATTTGGTCCACTCTGAATTAGTTGTTTATATTTTCTTTGTTTTTTTTAGCTTAGAATGATTAAGTTATCCTGTCTCGTATTTTCTTTTGCCATTGTTCCAATTATACTGTCTTGTTCAACTAAAAGTATAGAAAATTATGTGCCTTTAATGATTGACGTACAAAAGCTGTATAAAACTACTAGTATAGGGATTGTATATAAAGGAAACGAAGGTGAGAAGCGTTAAGTCACTAATTGGAAAGGTGAATATTAAANTTATACAACGACGAGGAATTAAAAATAATTACAGGTCAAATAGGATCATATTTTGTATTTCATTCAATTAATAAGTAAAGTAAATACTACTTGATTTATTTGAAACGTTAAGGAGTATGTAAATCGTGATAAGATAGAGTTGTATATTTTTGTTGTTTTTAAATTTTTTATCGATGTTTCAATGTCGGATTTTTTTGTCATTTCATCAAAATTTTTCTCATCTACAAAATAATACAGCTTGTTATTTTTAGAAATTTTTATTTACAAAGTAAAAGAGCAGATCATGATAAACTGGAACCATAATGCTAATTATGTGATTTGTTGTTGTTCTGTAACCCAAAGAGAATCATTATCTATCCTCTTTGTCGATATGGTATTTAAACATAAGAGTGATTTTTTCTTCGATAATAAACAAGTTTTAGTCCCTTTAAGATAAAGATTTTTTTATGACTTTTTACAAGGGTTATTAACAATAATTATAAATTCACCTTGAAAGTCAAGGTAGGACAATAATAGTTGATTATTTATATTTTTTACCATTATCGCTTTTAAATCTATCTGTTAAGTCTTTCAAAATTCGCTAATCTTTTTTTCTATTCCACCTGGTAAGAGTTAATTAAAGGAGACGTGAGTCGTGGGTAAAGTGTGGCAGATTGAAATGAAGAAAGCCTGCTCTCTTTACATTTTCCCTTTCCGTTGTAAAAATTATGTAAAGAAATTTTCTCATCTATTGTAACTTTTACTGTTATTAATCTTGATTTATAAAATAATCTTCTTTTTTTATTTGTTCTTCAAGTTTTGGTTTCAGATATTGAATCATATAATTTTCTTTATGGTTCAAATGGGCCAATCCTTAGTTAGTCTAGTTTTTTTCTGTTTAATTTGTTGCTATTTTCTACGTATACTTGATTTCCTGTTATGAACACGTATTCTTTTCTGTTTATATCGAGTAGTATTCTACTGTATTGGTGTGCTTTCATGGTTTTTTTCGAAATAGTGTGCAGAAAATAGGTGTTTTCCACACTACTTTTAGTGCGGCATATCAAATTTCACACACTAATCATGAAAAAAGTGTGTAGAAAGCTATTTTCCGGTGTGTGGCAAAGATTTTTTATTTTCCAGTATGCGGAAAATCATTTTCCACATTCCTCAAAACATTTTTTACAAAAATTTCTAAAAAGTTAATGAAGTATCATACGTTATTTGAAATGACTTTTCATTTTACCAGCAAGCTGTGTTACCGACACAAGATAAGAGCCAAATTATGTAGCCATCCATTTTCTCTTATAAATTTTATTCTATTTAATTATAATATTTAATTAAACAGTTAAAACACAAGATTTTTCAAATAAAATTGTAAAGTTGTAATAAAATTAGGTTTATTTATATAGTTTTTAAAAAACAAAAATGATTTTTTTTTTTTTGAAGAACGATTATTTTATTTATTTTGTAGTTCTGCTTTGAGGCTGCCACCCCTGGACCCCGCAGAACCTATCTTGTGAGTTAATTATTTTCGACTTTCTGTTCAACTATTTTTTAATAATTTAAAAATTTATTATATTAATATTAATTGTATCCAACTCATACGGATGAATAATAAAAAGTGCATAAACTTCAAAATCATTATTTAAATTACTTATTCTACTATTTATATCAATTTTTCTCACACATATTACGAAAAATGTTGTACGTAACTCGTGCGGACGATTTCCCGTACTCGTGTGATTGACTCGTACTCATGGCCGATGCCGCAGTAACTCATACCTTGCGATCAAACTCGTGCTACGCACTCGTGCGCCTAACTGGCACTCGTTCCCAGCAACTTCGGCCACTTGTGCGCGTCAATCACAACTCGTGCGGGAAATATTTTATTCCGCACTTGTAACGTAAATGACTATTTGACTGTTGGCTTTCTATCTTTTTCCAATCATCTGCATTTTTATTTTGTTTTAATTTTTGGATAACAAAACTGTGTCAGTATCTCTAGTAAATATTTTGATGTAATGACTGTTATTGAATGTTTTGTTACGTTATATTTGTAAGCTCTCTCTTCTTCTTGTTATCCAAGCTTTCTTTTACTTAATTTTGCTAATTTCGTATTTTATTTTATTAACTAATGCCTGATTAAATCTATTATTTAGGTTATTTGAAAAAGATGCGTTTAAGGCTGTGAATATACGTTTTACTTCTTGTTTTTTATAAAGTTTTTCAATTCTTTTGAAGGAATAGCTGGATAATGATCTGTAATTACATATATCTTGTCTGTTTTGAGTATACTTTGAAATAGTTTTTTAAAATTATTTCCAGTTTGTGTTTTGCATGTTAATATAAATGCATATCTTGTTAGAAGGTCCACGAATAGGTAAAGATATTTTTTGTAGATATTTGACTGCTAAATCCACCAACCCTATTGATCGACATTATTTATAATGGTCTAGTTGCTATCCTTAAGTGTGACATAAATTCGTATTTCTTTTTGCAACTTGATTTATTTTTAATGCATGTACGCTACAATTTTTCCATGTTCTATTTATATATTTTTTTTTAATTAAATTTTTCGCTGTACGATGTGAGTATATTTTGTTTAATGTTCTTCTAATTTTAAAATAACGCAATTCCACATTCGTTTTTTTCATTAATTTAATGGTTAGTTTGTTTGGTAAAATTATTTTGTTTTTTATAATTTCTCCTTTGTTTGCAAAAAAATACAATTATTATCAATTATCTTTCTTTTTAGTTTTTGTAATATTTTTTTCTTGTTGATCTTTTTTTAACTTTTCTAGCTTTATTAAATTTACTATTTTTAGCACATATCATGCCTCAATTGGTTATAATACCAGATTTATAGTAAGACAATCGACTTCAAAGTTATATTTTTCTGGTAAATATTTTATTTCGAAATCGAATCGTAATAGGTAGTATGTATACTTACCCAGTTCTGCATCAGTTATTACTTGAATACTAAAATGTTACAAAAGTTTGTGATTTAAATTTAACACTTCAAAATATTTTCCGATCAACCTAATGTTCCCAATAATTTATCACTTCTTTAATTGCAAGACATTCAAAATGCATACCTTTTTTTATGTTTCTTTCAGTCTTTTTGAAAAAAAAGCCACTGGTTTTCTTTCCCATTTTTTTGAATTTGTATCAATACTACTCCCATCTTTTTTAGTGAACCATCTGTATGTATTCGAATGGAAAAATTTTCATCACACATCTCTAGGACTGGTTTTAAGCAAAATAATTTTTTATCTTTGGAAAGGATTTTTCGCATTCTTCATGCCAACTGAATTTCTAATTTTCCCGTAACAATCTATGTAAGCGATCTAGTATTATTGAAGTTTTTGTATATATTCATGATAAAAATTAATTTTTCACTGATTCATTACCCACATGCTTTTTTTTTAATTTCAATCTAAGTCCTTCTTTGCTGATACTGTTTTCAGACTAAATGGTAAGCAAGTTCATTGATAGTTTCCTTCTCGTGTTATGAAGCTGGTTTTTTTGTGTCTTTTATTATTAGTGAAATCGATAAAAAAGCATAATTTGTATCTAAGGTTGTAAAGTCTTTTAGGTTTTCGGTTTTTTACTACTGTATCATCGATAAGTGGAGAAAGTTGGGCTTATAGTATAATTATTTTGTTCAGAGTTCTAAAGTCGATGCATCATTAAGACCTTTTTCCTTCATCTTTCTAAACAGCCAGAGCCACTGGTGCTGCAAAGGGCTGCAAAATTCGTTGTCTAAGTTTTTTCTAAAAATTTTACTTTTTGCTCTTTTTTTTTATTTTGTCGTTAATCATATATTTATAAAGCCATTTACAACAATATTTTTCCACTGATATACGGTATCTATCCTTCATTCACAGTCTTTTACTATTCTTACATCATATTTATTTTTTTCAATAGTTATTTACGTCACAAGTGCGGAAAAGACGATTTCCCGCACGAGTAGTGATTGACTCACACGAGTGCCGGAGTTGACGGGAACGAGTGCCAATTGAGCACATGATTGAGTAGCACGAGTGTGATCGCAAGGCACGAGTTACCGTTACCAGCCACGAGTTCGAGTCTATCACACGAGTGTGGGAAATCTTCCCGCACGAGTTGCGTACAAGATTTTCTGCAATAAGCGTGAGAAAAATCGTAAGTATGTTGATATTTCTCAAAAAAAGTTATGCGGGATTCAGAGGTTCTGCAAAAATACCGAATGATTGTTCAAAAAATAGAGAAAAGTGTTTTTATGCCTCAAATATAGGAGCAGAAATTTGATTAAATTGAGATTTCATTTCAAAAAATAAACTTTGAATTACTTAAACCATAACATAATCAAAGAATTTTATAACTGTAACAAATCATGTTACAGAACCCCACACCAACAAAATGGAATGGTGGTTCCCAATAAAAGGTTCTGAAATTTTAATATGATTAAGTTTAATGAAATTAACAAAAAAAAGTCATTGAGAAGAAATTTTATAAGAGAGTTAAAACTTACACCAGGTAGAGTTCTGATAGTTGTACAAATGGTATCTTATTAAGTTCTCTGCGAGATTTCTGGTGTACAGCAAAATTTTTTTCGGTGTGTGGAAAAACCTTCGCCACACACCTTTCCGCACAATACGTGGGAAAACCGATTTTCCACACTAAAAAAGAGCGAAAAACGCCTATTCTCTGCGCACTATTGCAAAAATAGTAGTTTTCCTACGAGTTTGAAAAGTCTTTGTTTGCGAACCGAGAGGAACCGAGGTTCGTAACGAGGTTCGTAAAGGAGACTTTTCGAACGAGTATCGGAAAACTGCTTTTTTGCCAGAGGAAGTACCAGCCTTCCAAAACCACCCGAGGGTGGAAAATTATTTTATACTTGCCTATCAATTTTTCTATTTTTAATTTTGATTTAAATGTACTAAATAACTCAATTTTTCTCAAGAAAAAAAGTCATAGTCTGGTAATTAAAGCAATTTCTGTTTAATTCAGGAAATCAAAAATTATATGTATTCCCGTATTCATTGTATTATTTAATAATTTGTAAGAGATGTTTATGTTCTTATCTTGAGATAAATTAAATAGTTTAATTATATGTAACATGATTAGGAAATCTTCAAAATCATCATTTTCCACTATAATACATCTACTTCTTTTTATATTCCAAAGATTGTCATTCTTATTAAATATTATTTTTAGTTGTTTTTTAGTTCCATTAAGTTTTGATTTAAGCCAGTATTTATTTTATGGGTGGAACCTTGCACCATTATTTACATTTTCACATATCTTACATGGGTTTTTTCTCCAGTCTTGTAATTACTATCTTGTTTATTTTTTCTTGTTTTAGAATTCATAATAATTGGTTTCAAGAAGTTAAGTGCATTAATTAAATCTTGTATTGACAGCTTTCTAAATCACCCTATCTTAAGTTTGGTTTGGTATCGTAGTAATCTGTTAGCAATTGTGAATTTGATATTTATTTTTAAAAAATCTACAGATTAGGCTACATATATTATACAAGAAGATCAAAATTTAAGTAGATTATTAAAGTTTGTGCGAGGATACAAAACTTATTACCTACACTTACCAAACAAAAAAAACAAAAAACATTTTGGTCTCCTAGAAATCGTCAATTTTATAAAGTTCACTTATATTGTTGGAAAACAGAACAAGATACGAGATTTCTGACGATTCAAGGACGGCTTCATGTGAGAGTCCAAACAATAAGCCCATGTCAAGTGGCTCAATTGTGGCCAATGATGACTTTAGCGACGATGACACCCAACCAGACTGGCGTTCTAATTACCAAGGGGACTACACAGATGAAAATTTTGCGTATCTCTGCACTGAGGATCTTTTGATATGGGCTTATCAAGTAGCAAATGGCATGGAGTACCTTACCCGAAGAAAGGTAAGCGGCTATGCGTACATGGTTTTTAATCGTTATCTGTTTTTAATTTTATATTAACTAACTGTAGGTAAATGCTATTTGTTTGTTTTTAGGTTCTGCACTGTGATTTGGCAGCAAGAAATATATTACTAGCAGAGAACAACATTGTCAAAATTTGCGACTTCGGACTGGCAAAGACATTGTATAAAGACCAAAACTATAAAAAGCAACACGAAGGAAAGTTTCCTGTGAAGTGGATGCCTATTGAGTCCATCAGAGATGGAGTATTTTCCACTATGTCAGATGTATGGTCATTTGGTGTAGTTTTATGGGAATTTTTCACCCTAGCCGAAATACCTTACTCACGTATGGGGTTCGAGAAGATGTATCAGAAATTAATTAAGGGCTACAGATTGGGTCAGCCGGCTTATGCTACGAAAGACATGTAAAAGAAAACCATTCAAGTAGTTTTTTTAAGAAAACCATTTCGATAAAACTATTATTTTACATTGTTAAAATTCTTTTAGTTACAACATTATGCTTCATTGCTGGGAGGAAGAGCCAACATCGAGACCGTCTTTCACAATACTGGTGGAAAGCATTGGAAAACTTTTACAAGATAACGCCAAAACGCATTTTTTAAGACTTTATCATGGGTATGAAAATTTTAACAGGAAAGGCCAGCTTAAAACAAAAGAAGATAACTTACTTACCACGTCATTACCAGATGATATAACGATTCCATTAATCCGGCAAAACTATATAAACACCCTCCCTAAAATCGCAACGCCATCCTACGAAAACGTGCACAATGACGTCACTGCAGCTGATACTAAGAATATTTGATGATGTTATAACAAAAACTTTGAAAGTGAAACTATTAATCCAAAAAATAGTAAATTTATGGTTTAAGTTAAATAATTAGGATATCAATGTTTGTGCAATAAAACTGTCGTTTTAAAACTATTTAAGAGTCTCTAAATAATGATTCTTTGTTAACAAAACATAAGCTTCAAAAGTTTTCTGGAAGTATATGTAAATTGAACCCTGTCATAATTATAGAAGATGACGAGATAAGACATAAAACTATCAAAAATTTTAACTGATAAATATGTATAAAAATTCACAGTAACATAGAGTGGACATGATATAGTATATTACGTACCCAGGCCAGAAAGTGGGGCTATTACTGACCACGCTATATTATCGCGGTCAGATGTAGTCCCACTTTTTGGCCGTGGTACGTATACTCTTTTTCCTTACACCTCCGCCGAAAGTTCGTCACCACGGTTTTAGTTTTGTTAAAAATGAAGGTTTAAAGATCCAGTCAAAGATTTAGTGCATTATGCATTGTTGTTGATCGATCGGTCGCTCGAACAATACCACTTCAATGCACGTAGATGAGTGTATTTTTTTTTTTTTTTTTATTCATCATCGCCCCTTAAGGGCTCAGACATGGCTAGTTTGACACTATAAAGTGTATTTAGCCATACGTTGGGTTTAATAACAGTAGTGTATAGGTATATCTACATATATAGCACTCATACGCTACCAATGACTGAGGAAAGGAGAAGGGAGGAGGGAGCTCTACGCTCGCCGAGACTGTAGTATATTATATAGAAACAGATTGGGCCGGGGATTTGTGCAGGTTGGTCGTGCTGGCAATTTAATTTTGTGTTGTGTACTCTGTTCATATGAAATTAATACATTTATATGTACATGTAAATTGTGAAAATATATATATATNTGGATCCTATAAAGATTATTTTAAAAATCCTAATGTTTATATCCGTAAGTGAAAAATAAATCAGGTTATTATCAATAACTATTATAATTGTGATAGGCATAATTCGATTAAATAAAAGATTTCATAGTTTATTTTTGTAATATGACATGTATATACTACATTTACATACTAAACAAATCATTAAAGTGAAAGTAACTGATCAAAAAACATTAATTTGGTAGTTTTAATTTTGTGTTGTGTACTATGTTCATATGAAATTAATAAATTTATATGTACATGTAAATTGTGCAAAAAAAAAAATATATATATATACATCCAATAATTTATGTAAATAAATATCCAACGATTTTCTGTGTTGTATAAACTATAAAGGTTATAACTCCGTTAGCCGTATATATGTATTGTATAACTACTGCTGCTTCTCGGTGCTGAATATATAACTATATATATCTGCGCACTTCGTTCTGCGCACATATGACAGGACTGATATGAGGCTTTTTCTAGCTCAAAATCGGGTCAGATGGAACGAACTTTCGGCGGAGGTGTAAGGAAAAAAAATTTAGTAAGATTTTATCATTTTTTACAAATTATTTTTGAATACGCGTACGTAACTAAATTAATAATTTTTTATCTGGATTTGTTTACCGTTAGTAAAAATTGAACCGTGGTTACATGGGGCGAAAGCAGCCTACGGAACGTCACAGCAGAACGAAAAAAGAGTTGAGTTCCTGTATAACCTACTGCTACTTTAATAGGTCACGCGTTGCGCTCTTACTGGGAAAAATGTCCATCGTGCATATGGAGCGAAACAGAAAGGCCGCTTTATGACAGCAGCCAATGAGGGCATAGTTTTTCAGGGCAAACATCCGATGTTATGCATTTAATGAAAATTATTAATGCTTTTTTACGACACACTTCGATAGAAACATCATTATTATAGCTATGATTGTTTTTCAGAAATCAAAAAAATTTAATAATAATCAAAGAATCAAATTATATCACTATTTCGTCCCATGTAACCGTGGTAGCTTTAGGCTTCTCTTAATAAAACTTACACTTGGAGTAAGTACTATTTTTACGGAAAAATCTTTTGCTACAAAACAGACACGTAATATTAACACAAATGTTAGATTGTGCAAACAATTAATTAAAGGGATCAGTTGTTTGAAAAACATAAAAACGGTGCTTTTGTTAAGACACTTCGTATACAAATTTGACTACACAAATGCCGTTAAGTGGGATGCCGGAGGCTCGAGGTGCTTAATAACAAAACGGCAGTTAAACTTAGTTAATCATTTTATTACTATCCCTTAAGAGAAGGCGCTTGGCGGTCTCGAGTTACTTATTGTGACTACCCTCTTTCTAGTCTCGGCGTTCTAGAGCCCTGTGGCCACTGCTGCGGGCCTTTCTATGCTCTTTCCTTCCCCACTCGTTCTCCTTCCTTCTCCTAATAACTGAGGCCCATCCCACGCAGTATGTTCCATACTGTACGTGACACTAGCCATTAGATGAGAAGCCATTATTTTTGCTGTATTGGCACCATTTTTATTCTCATTCTGTCCTATAAGGAAAAAATGTTTTAAAAAATTCACCAAAATGGTAAGTAAACTTTTTTAAGTAAATCAGCGTTTACCGTTTTATTAAAGGCATACCTAGTTAAATTAATATAAAAATTTAGGGATTGTAATGTATAGTTATAAGTCCCGTATATAGGTACCAGATGGTGATTTAACGCTTGTTATGGTTCTACGAAGCTGAATAAACTGTACTGAGGGAATCAATATCAATCTTTCTGTCAAGAGTATTCATAGTTAACTTGACATAAATAACTTGACTTTTTATCACACATTTTAACAGATTTCCAATCAAAGGTATATTGTAAATATGAAGTATATTCAGAAACCACTGTCTCCTTTCTTTGTATATTCATATATTATTTTATGCGACGTATCAAAGCACATTTTGTCTTTCTGATATATTGAAATGAACAGTCACTGCAAGGAAACTTGTATACAACCTTGGTACTTACAAGTGTATCGGGTTTGTCTTTACCTGATTGTTTCATTACATTCAGGAGTATTTCTTTTAATAGCAGGACATAAATGTGATAAGGTCTACCCAATTGTCAACTATATTCTTTTTCAATGATAGAGGGTAATTAGGAAAAAAATTTAGTTTACGAGTTGTAGACGTCTTTTTTCTACACCAGTTTCTGATAACCTGAGAGTTTCGTATCATAAGAGTTGTGTCCAAAAAATTAATACTTTTATTACTTTGACGATCATAAGTGAAATCTAGTTTTCTATGATAATTGTTGAATACATCAATAACAGTGCAGATGTAATTTTTATAAATACAAATTGTAGTATCATCTACACAACGGAAATAGAAAAGAAATACGCAGTTATTACAATTGTTTAGTGTCGATAAGCAGCTATTTTCAGAATCGGTCATATACGGAGTGTTTTCAAACAAAGATGTGACGTCGAGGAATATTAGGGTGAATATTGTCATATTTTTTATTTTTTCAATTAATTAAAACCTCTTGTCAACATGTGAATATGTTAGAGAATAACAATTTTTTAAACAACTATATGAATTGAGCTGATAGATTAAGATGATTATTGACTGATGAGATAATAGATCTAACGGAAACATAAAGTTAGTGAATTTTAGGCAATCAACATGCTTTAGATAACACTGTATAGGTTTAGATGATTTCAATATCTTTACAATTTTTAGGTAACATATTATTGTCTTTGATAGTTGGTAATAGTTCATATGTTTTTTTTTGTAAATGTTTGAGTGGGTTTCTTCTAACTACTGTGTCAGTATTAGTATCGTTGAGTAAGTCACACATCTTTTTGTTGTCGTTATCTCTATAAATGCAAATGGTAACACGTTCTTTATCGGCCCTAGTAAAGAAAATCAGAGGATTGTTTTTGAGAAAAATATTGGCTTCTTTATGTTTACGCTTGAATATTATATCATGTATTTTGTACTCATGACTTTTGTATTGAGCGGAATGTAAGATATTGTTAACAATTGACTGTCTGGCGTTATTTTTAATATCTGTACGAAGATCAGACATACCAAGGCCCTATTTAATATTTATATTAAAACTAACAGCGTTTTTACAATTGGAACTGTTGGGCACGCTGTGGTTCGAACCCAAGAATACAATATCGATAACATTATTCGGAATCTCAATGACCGTTAGATTTTTTACTAACGGTTTATGTCATCACCTCTCATTTACTTTATTTTAAAAGCTCAATATGCAAAGTAAACTGGAGCATTATAATTTCTATTAAGACACCTATCGACAAATTAATTTTTTATAGAAACTAATAAACCATGCATCAATTTAACGTCTTATGATTTAAATAAGCAGTCAGAGGATGGTAAATCAGTGAGTTTTTTGGCTTTTGTTGATGCATGTCCAATACCAACTTTAGAGTGGTAATATGTTCAGCTCTTCCTATTGCTTAAATTAACTTATTGTTTCTTGGTATAAACAAGAAAATCTTACGTTTCAGGATTCACCCTCAAGGTTACAGAATTGGTCCCTACTTTATGGGTATAAGAATGTTCAATAACAAATCGATGAGCCGACTGACTAAGTCGAATATCAATAAAAATGATTCGGGAATTTTCACGCTTAGAGCCAAATATGGTAAAATAAAAAGGAGTTAAAGTTCCATCTTGAAATTTATGGTATATGAAAACAACTGTCTGGTGCTCGTAAAACATAAATATTTTTAACTGCATAGAATTTAAAATTGGTTTTGGTATTGAGATTTATGGGACTCTTAAGCTTTTGCCCTATTAGAGATGTTTTTTGCTTTCAATTTTTGTCTTTTTTTGTTTCTTTAATTATCATGCAGTTTTAAAAAACATTCTGCTAAATGTTGCTGTTTTGTGTATTTTACATCATGCAAAGTAATAACTTTTATTCTGCAGGTAAGCCGACGGTCGAATTTGACAAAAGCTACCTTAAATCTTACTACAGCTTTAATGAAACTGTTACGTTTGTTTGTCTGGTTAATCGTTATCCTAAGTCGAATATATCTTGGACCTTCACGAATTATCCAAAATACCCATTAAGAAGTATACAGAAGATAAATAAGTTACAGGTTTGTTAGCCACAATAAGTAATGACTTGGTTATCTGAAATTTGAAAATATTTTAAAATATTAATGGAACAAAAAATATTATTTTATAAAAATTACTAAATTATTCTAGGGAATAGACATAGATATACAAAATAAAAGTTTTAAACAAATGTCAACGGTAGAACTGGAACGGCCAGTACGATCTATTTTATTAAAGTGCACAGTTTGCAACAGTTATGGATGCACCTTCGTAAAAAAAAAAATTTACATTACGGGTATACACATCTAAATAACAGTATTGAACTTTGATTTTTGAAACATTTTTTTATCATACCCCGACAAAAGACGACTTTTCTTCCCTGACTTTAGGGTTTAAAGAGCCCCATTTATCTCAGGTAAAAACTCGTTATATCTTTACTTTTTGGAAATGTATTTCAGCGTAATTTGCGTGGAAAAAGTTTTCCGAGCCGTAGGTGAGCGTGAAAAACACGCAGGTGTTGCCAAAGTACTTTTCCAATAAGCAAAGAATACGAGTTTTACCTGCCAGGTTATGTTGCACTCATGACCCTGGCGTAGTGAAAAAAATGTCAACATTCGACGAAGGCAGATGAAACATTGTATACGCCAAACGGGACAAAAGTATGTGGCATTGACTTTCAGGTGTTTGTCTCACTCGCCTTTGGCTTAGGAGGTCATTTTACACGCGGAAGAGAATGTTGTACTCTGGTCCCTTATGTCGTATACTAGTGTTTCTTTTCATTATTTGCATTTGTTGTTGCATAGTATAACTGTTTTTGTTTTTCTTCTTTAGATGGGGTGTCGAACGCATCTCTAGGAATAATTGAACCAAATAGAAGATTTAAAAAAGGTGACAATATTTCTTTAATATATGCTGCTGTAACCCGAAAATTCTCCAAGGTCGTATGGTATGATGATAGTAAACAGGTGGTTGTAAATTCTGGTTAGTTCTAGATTTATTTTCAAATTTAATGGTTAACTTTTTTTAGTAAAATTAAATTAATTTTACATATTTTTTAATGGATTTATAGAAAGAATACGTGTCACGTCAAGAACAACTGAATTTTCTCACCAAGCTATTCTTTTAATCAACAACGTTAGTGAATCGGATAGAAGAAACTATTATTGCAAAGCAACAAAAAGATCTTATGCATATTATCATGAAAAAATACATACAAAATCATACTTCCTTGCCATCAAAGGTAATAATATAATCGCATGTGGAATATATGACGCTGCAACTTATTTTTATACATCTCAATTAATTTTACTCCATTTATAATTGTTTTTCGTATAGTTCCACCTTACTTGAACTATTTCAATACAAATGATACGGAAAAAACTGTGCTAGCAAGAGATTTTGAAAATCCCCTGATTTTATCATGTGACATTGAAGGGATTCCAACCCCTAACATTACATGGTTCAAGAACGACATACCTTTGAAGTTGTCACCACGATTTGGTTTCGAGAACAGTAATGAAAAATTAATCATACGATTTCTTTTTGAGAAAGATGGTGGTAATTATTTGTGTCTTGCTAAAAATGACTTTGGAACCATCGCAAAGTCCCAAATTATCATTTTAAAAGGTAAAAAATGGCAATGTGTATAACTACTTTAATATATTTTTATTTTTGGGAAACAAAATAAAAGTAGTGCAACCACCTTACACCGCACAAATAAAGTACAGTCTATTTTACATTTGATAACGTTACAAAAACTATATAACTCAGTGTTAAGTTTTCAACAATAAAATTAATTACTTAAAATATGGTAATTGTTCAAAAATAACAAAAATAAACATCGTTTAGTAGGTTATAAACAAAGTACTTAATTCACATAAATTGAAGTCATACTGAGCATTCATATCAGCCATAAAATCATTAACTATCAGCCATAACTCTTTACCTAGTAAAACTGATAGTTTGTTCCAAAACAGAAAAAGGGGTGGGTGTATGTAACAGCCTACGCCTACAAAAGTAGTTTTGTAGTTGGAAAAATATAAAGAGATAAAAGAGTCAAAGGTACATAATAAAATTTGCTGATGTGCTGAAAAATTAAGTTTTTATTATTGCATAAATTGGTGAATTCATGCTTTACATAACCGGAGAATATAGTCTTTAATAATCAAAAAATTCATTACTGTCTTATAGAAAAAAACTTTATTATGAAGAAAGAAATCACCAATAGAAGGGTACCTAAACCGATTTTAACAAAAATTGGCCTTTTTTCTTGTTTTTGGATATCCATCACTGCTAAACAAAGTTTCAGTTTTATTTATTTTAACACGTTAGAAGATTACTTTCAAAAATTAATTATTCAGCATTTGGGCGTTGTTTTATAATATTTTATGATAGAAAATCCTAAATTCAGAAGATAAAATTTTTTTTTCTGAAATATTTAAATTGTAACTTCTTTTAAAAACGATACTTCAGTTATTTTTAAGCTGTTTTTGTTGCTCAAACAATTTTATAGTAAAAATTTCGAATGATCATACAATTTCTTTTCTTTAAACGTATTAAGATAGAAACCGAGATTAAGGATTAGGGGGGATATAGGATTTTTGAATTTAATCATTAATATTTTTGTTAACTTTTAACAATATTTATTAGTAGCTCAATTCCTATTTTTTTTTTTAATGCTCTAATCACTAATATCTTAAAAGCTCCTCTATTGGACGAGTTTGCCGTTCGCTAATACACAATTACTAGCAGCCCCTCGTCTCGGCTTCGCCCGAGACTTACTAAATAAAACACCGTAGTGTGTTGACATGTAATGTGAAACATTTTCAGTTAGAAATTTTACACATATTCCTGATACATCTCAGAAAAAAAATCTTCTTATTAAAAAATTTTTTTTTTCGGAATCCATTTAGTTTATTTGGTCAAATATTAAGGTGTGAAAATTCAAAAAAATAATTATGCTGAAAAGTACCGTGCGTTCTTTATGCCATAAAATAATCGGTGGCCATAAGAAGCCGTTGATTTACAGTTTCTCCCGTGTAATTCACGAAAACGGCTATTTTTTAAAGCTGTTAAGATTTTAAACCCCCAAAAAATTTATATTAAAAAAAAATTTTTTTCCTCATATCTCACAACTTTATTACCAGAGCAACAAAGTCCTGGACCTTAAACCCTACATTTTTATTGCCACAAAAACAAAAACATTTTCTACTTCTTTAAAAATCTGAAGTAGGATCTTTAAAGATTTCAGAGATTGCTGTGAGGGTGCAATGAAAAGCTGATCTCTCACGTAATGGACTCTTTAGTTGTCGATTTTGACGCTGCTGTTTCAATCTCGATAAATTTTCTGCGTCAGTTTCTTGACGCCTAAGTAAAATTGTATTTATTAGATACACTTGAAGTTTTTCTTCCGATTCACCCTCTTGCGACTTTTGGCATGTTTAAGACTTTTGTGACCCCTAAAGGCTGTTTTTGGTCAACTTAACTGTTAAGTTGTAATATATTTATTGGCAAGGTAGTTCGACGTCCGATGGCCCTAAAAAAGACCGGTGAGCTTATTAAGTCAACTTTTTCTTGACTGCAGTTAACAGCAATTGTGACTGCCTGGATACCTCAGGGTGATCTTCTTTGGCCTGTTATTGCAGCACCACACTGATCGGGAAGAGAACTACAACGTTTGAAGCTTTGGAGCGAGTTGTAAAGATCTTTCATAACGTCTCCTGGTATAACGTCGAAGACGTTGGTGTCTAAAGCACCTTTTTTATTTGCAGATTCAGTTGTTTTGGTGATCTTAGATGGGGAGATTGGTTAGTGATACTTGTCCAGTGGAGGCTGTCCCGTTGGCTCAAGTTTTTTTTCCTACATAGCTGTTATAGGTTTGCCCAACGCAGACTTTGGAGAGGATCAGTGATTCCTGGTTGAATGGTTAGAGTCGAGAGGGTAATGAGGGTCGTCGGTCACCGGGTTTTCCAGCCTTGCGAAGAACAACTCCGCAGGTGACGTCTGCCAGTGAATGGCTGACTTGGTTTAATAGTGCCCGTCGTTAGTTAATATAGTCTTTAAGTCGACGAATCGCTTCCGGAAATGGTAACAAAAATGTATTTGTTGGCAAGGTAGTTTACACTTAGGTGGATCCTAAAAAGAACCGATGAAATTGATGGTTAAGTAGGGAACGTAAATACTTATAATGGCCCTAAAAAGCGCCAGTGGTGAAACTTCCAGGCTATTCTTATTCCTGATGATGAAGAGCTGGCTACGGTTGCTTGATTCTTACTCTGGGAGTCTCGATGTACGGAGACTGTGATAGAGAGAGGTACGCCGCTGACCAAAGAATATCTCGTCTCGGGTCATTTCCCGGATAATCAACAGCTCATCGTTAGACGGGAACATGTGGGTAAGCGCGTTGGGGACGCGACCGGCGACGACCAAGAAGGTAGCCGTTGTGGCTGCCCGTGCCCCTCAGAGCTCAGAGCTGCAAGTCTATCATCAGCATTCTCTATGCAGCTCGTTGAGTTGCCGAAGCTCGATACAATACTATGGAGACGCTCTATCTTATTATAACCACACTTATTTAATTATGTTGCAGGTAGCTTCGATTTTTTGTCGACGCCACCCATAGATTTCACTGAACTAAAGTGAAAAGCTGGCATATTTTTGCAAAACTTTGAGCTCATTTATTGCTATTGTTATTAAATTTTTTAAGATAAAAACTATACTTAAACCATCTAGAAAGTATCATGAATCAGTGTGCAAAATTTCAACAAAATCGGTTCAGTAGTTTTCGCGGTTAGCGATTACAACGGTTTTAGCGCTTGTGCTTTATATATTAGTAAAATAAGATGTGAGTATTTTACTACAACACAATAGTATATTAGTACGACATCAACTATCATTGACTGTCTAATTGTGTCCCAGATGCAAATTAACACGATCGAATTTTCTAATCCTGGTAAAGATTTTAAATTCTATTACTGAGTAGGAGTTCTTCAATTAGATTTTTGCATGAAAAGTTCCATTTGGTCCATCTTGGTCCATTTTTCATTCCATTTTGATTCTCTATTTTTTTAGCTATATATATATAATCCTTGTGTATGTGACGTCATATTAATACAAACAAAAAATAGTCATTTTGATTTTTACTATAACTCGAGTAGAAATAAAAATTTTTTGTTGAAACTTTCAGGAATACTCGTTTTTTGTATTATGTAGATAAGGTTAAATTTTCAGCGAATTTAATATAATTGTTTACAAGTTATTTGAGGTTATACGTATGTTCGACACTTTTTTTAAAAAGCTGTATCTTTAAGGTTTTACATTGTTTTGTATGTTTCTGAGCTCATTTTTTTCGTACTCAACATTAGAACATTCACGTGTAATGTATACTTTACAACGTCATATGTATATGTTGTGTTTTTCGTAACTTTTAAAATACTATAATTTTTAGGTACTATATCTTTTTTAATTGTTATTTTTAGGGAAAAAAAAATATAATTTTTTATGCAAAAACTTAATTGTCTTCTGAAACCAAGCTGGTGCTGGTCTGCTGTTGTTACAAAAATTAATAGAAAAGAGATATATGTATGTTAGCCAGCATACATATACAACAAGTTTTGTAGCAATACTATAAGCTGTATGAAATAATACTAGAGAAAAAAAACAATTAACTTACTTGATAAATCATTGTCCTATAAAATCGATCAGAAACCGGTTGTTTAAGTCGCTCTTTCAGAGAAGAACGAGGATCAGTTGTATTTCAACTGAAATAATAGTATTAGTAACATACATTTCAATAACAAAGAAAGTTCGTACAGATGCATTAGAAAAAAATATCACCCAAGAATTTCAAGCTATCGACAGAAATTAAAAGAAATTAATGAAAGTGCAGACTGCTTGGTACTCCTATATTAAATGTACCTAAGACATGTCAGCGTCACTTTGTGTCAGCTTGATTTTCCTTGAAGTTCAAGGCTGTTTTATAATATTGCTTATTGAAACTGTTAAATTCATGATTTTTGTGGAAGCAGCAAATGTTCTAGGCTTTGAATTTAAATACTGGGAAAAAAGATTGTACAGCTAATTTTTTATTTTACGAGCTATATAATACTATAAGAATTTTTACTCAGAATATGTGTGAGTGAGCTGAACGAAGTAACATGTTGGGGAAAAAAAAGTACTTTCAATAAAGTAGTTAATTTTTTTCAGGTCGAAATCCAAATTATTGGATCGGAATGGTTGTGTGGGTAATCACAACCCTAACGTGTCTTCTAGTTTACTTTTATTTAAAAGTAAAACATAAAAATGTAAATAAAAAGAGGTTATGGTTGTTACAACATAATTATATTTTAAAAAATTCCATAATGAAGACAAATTACGTTGACAACTAAATAAATTTTTCAAGTTCAAAGAGGAAAGACAATCAGAATCTGGTATTATCCAGTTTAAGGAAGGAGCACCTAATTTAATAAATCCAAAACTATCAGTAGACGATCAATCGGAACTTCTTCCGTATGACGAAAGATTCGAATTTCCTAAAGAAAACATTAAACTAGGTAAGGGGATTATGGAAAATTTTTATAAAGAAACCTTAATATAAACTCAATTTACATCCATGTTCAACATGTTTCTTTTCTACCTTAAGACAAACAATTAGGAAGTGGAGCTTTTGGAGTTGTGTATAAAGCCGTATCTTATGGAATATTTGCTAAAAAATCTAAGACAACTGTTGCTGTAAAAACAGTTCGCAAAAATGCAGATCCGATTTATATTACTGCACTAGCAAAGGAGCTGAAAATTATGATTTATCTAGAACAACACTTAAATGTCATAAATCTTCTAGGTGCTTGCACCAAAAATATAGCCAAACGTAAGAATTCACATAGAGGTGTATACAACTATTTTGTAAAAAAATTGTCTGATAAAAAATTGATTAATATTTCAGGTGAACTTTTAGTAATTGTTGAGCTTTGCCGATTTGGGAACCTTCAAAGCTATTTTTTGTGTCATCGGAAAAATTTTATAAATCAAATTGAGCCAAATACAGATAAAATCAACCCGTCTGTTAAAAAAAAACTAAAAAGGTAATAATTTTGCTGCTCAAGCTTTTTTTCGAATTCTTGAGCAATTGTACTTGAAATAGATTCAGGGCTTGAGAGTACAAATAGTATTAATGCTCAAAGATAAAAAAAAGATGGTTTAGTGGAAATAAGTCAGTATCAGCGTACTTCTACTTAGCATCCCTCTAGAAAACGGATAATTAAAAAGTTTCATAAGGAAAAAATGGCAAGTGTACCTAATAACTTGTCATTGACAGCCATAAAAGATAATTCTAAACATGATTTTATTATGCTCATGTAAAGTAGAGTAGAACAGAGAACTTAAATTAAGACTGTACCCATAATGTTTACTTTCACAATTTACACCTTTAAATTCTGCACCAAAAGTCTTCACAGTAAAATTCGTGGACAAAAATGTACTTAAATACGGTTCGTACATAAATACAATCTTCAACAGAATACGTGTCTAAGACTTTCGATCACAATTCTGTTACGTATAAGCATTCGTACATTTAAACATCTCACCAAAAACTGTCTCCTACGAAAAAATGTTTAATCTTGATCGAAAAAAAATAATCTCATCCTTATGACTCATAAACTGCATGGACATAATTTTAATTTTTTGGCCAACAGGACAAAACACGAGAATTCTGACGACTTTAGTACGACCTTGTATCATAGCAGTCCAAAAAATAAGTTCAGTATTTACTACACAGTAGCTCAAAACTTAAGTGGCTCAACTGAATTAAGTGATGATTTTGACATGGATGATATTCAGCCAGACTGGCGTTCTAATTACAAAGGGGACTACACAGATAAAGATTTTTCGTTCCTTTGCTCTGAGGATCTTTTGTTATGGGCTTATCAGGTAGCAAATGGTATGGAGTACCTTACCCAAAGAAAGGCAAGCAGCTATGCGTACATGATTTTTTATGGTTATCGATTTCTAATTTTATATTAACAAATTTTCGATAAATGCTACTTGTTTGTTCTTAGGTTCTGCACTGTGATTTGGCAGCAAGAAATATATTACTGGCAGAGAACAACATTGTCAAAATCTGCGACTTTGGTTTAGCCAAGACTCTGTATAAAGATGAAAACTATAAGAAGCAATGCGATGGAAAGATACCCATAAGGTGGATGGCCATTGAGTCCATCAGAGACGGAGTCTTTTCCACTATGTCAGATGTGTGGTCATTTGGTGTAGTACTCTGGGAATTTTTCACCCTAGCCGAAATACCTTACTCACGTATGGGGTTCGAGAAGATGTATCAGAAATTAATTAGGGGCTACAGATTGGGTCAGCCGGCTTATGCTACGAAAGACATGTAAAAGATATTTTTTGTAAGAAAACCATTTCGATAAAACTGTTATTTTACATTGTTAAAATTCTTTTAGTTACGACATTATGCTTCATTGCTGGGAGGAAAAGCCAACATCGAGACCGTCTTTTACAATACTGGTCGAAAGCATTAGAAAACTTTTACAAGATAACGCCGAAACGCATTTTTTAAGACTTTATCATGGGTATGAAAATTTTAACAGAAAAGGCCAGTTTGAAACGAAAGAAGATAACTTAGCTACCACGTCGTTACCACATGATATAGCAATTCCATTAATCCGGCAAAACTATGTAAACACCCTCCCTAAAATCGCAACGCCATCCTACGAAAACGTGCATAATGACGTCACTGCAGCTGATACTAAAAATATTTGATGATGTTATGACAAGAATTTTGAAAGAGAAACTATTCATTCAAAAAAAAGTAAATGCGTGATTTAAGTAAAATAATGAAGATATCAATTTTTGTGCTACAATACTTTGATTTCAAAACTATCTAATGATGCGTTTATAGTGATACTCTTTTTAGCAAAAATAGGCTTTAAAAGTTTAGTGTAAACATACGTAAATTGAACACTGTCATATCTATAAAAGATTACAAGATGAAACACATAGCAATACTAAAATGTTAAATTAATTATTGTTTACGACTATTGCAGTTTAATGAGTGAACAGGACAGAAGATTTAAGTATGATATTTTCAAATATGCATACATGACCAAAAGTAGTTAGTTTCTGTCTGAATTTATCTACAATACATAAAGATCAGGCTCCTCACAACAAAACTTTACTATTCAAACTAAAATAAAACTAACACAGTTAAAACAACAAAAGTGCATAAAATTTTTTTGTTTAACCTACTAACTTTGTATAATGTTAAACTACAGGAATACTGAAAAAATAATAGTATATTACGCCACTAGGGCAGAAAGTGCTTCTTCCCGCCCGCGGGCGCACTTTCCGCCCTTCGAGTACTTTCGTCCCTCGGGCGAAAAGTACTTCCCGCCCTGCGTAACGAGGTTCGTAAAGGAGACTTTTCGAACGAGCTCCGGAAAACTGCTTTTTCGCCCGAGGAAGTACCAGCCTCCTAAAACCACCCGAGGGCGGAAAAATAATTTTCTTTCAGCCCTTATATGCATAGTTTTTTCCAGTGTTTTCGCTTCTGTATTAGTTTTGTTTCCTTTTGATTACGTCGTATTAAATAAAAATATTAATAACGAAATATTGAACTTAAAAGAAAAAGTTTGCCGCATTTTAGAATTCTATACAAAAATTGTAATGATCCTAGGCTTTTAAAGTTCATTTAGCTGATCTTATAACAGTTCACAAATAAAAGTGCTGTTTCATACGTTATTACGTAATACAGTAATATTTCCATTAGCAATCAATTGTTTTTTTTAAGTTTGTAAGTAAAAACTTATGCTTTTATTTCAAAATGTTACAATGTTATACCAGATTACAATACTTACATTTTTCATTTTTTATCACAATGTTATTATACAACGTCATTTTATTTTATTTTAAAATTTATCATAGACAATATGAACAACGTTTCAAAAAATTAGTTTTATTTCTGGAACCAGAAAAATAATTCAGAAAACAATATCAGAAATCATCAATTAAGCACCAATTGGCATTATATGTAGACAATGTTTTTGTATTCTTAAAGACACGCAAAAATAATTTCAAAAATTTTTTTTTTTTTTAACTTTTTATGTTTTAATAAAAATTATAGTTGT